ACCGCAGCAGCCCTGTCTGGCCACGGGAGCCCTCGGCTCAGATGGTCTCCAGGGAGCCTGGGCGTTTCTGAAATACCCTGATGTAGTGGGAGGTAATAGCAGAGCGGTGTGTGCACGCGTGTAAAACCACAGTGGACCTCCTGGCACTTACCACTGTGAGATGGCTGCCCACGAGCTTTGGTCACCAGCTCCCATTGTCACCGTGCTTAGTGTGTCTGGTGCCCGCACTCATTCCTGACCTGCTCCATCTCCGTGGCATTCTGCTCTGGTCAATCGCTTGTTTAAATTTGCTGCAAGTGGGGCCTTGTTCCCTCCCTTACCTGCGGATATATGTAATGCAAGGCTTGTTTTGTTCCCAGGAGCTGTGTTCCAGCCCACAGTTCATAACCGGTGGAGCCACTCGCACAGACATCTGCCAAGGGGCCTTAGGTAAGAGGCAGAAAGCTGCGTTTTCCATGCGGGTGCTGCCCTAGGACACCACAGTTCATACTAGGTTGTAGCTCGCTCCATAAATACATCCTTTTGCATCCTACCACCTCTCTTTATATCAAATCAGGTCTTTCTTGCCTTTCCTCAGCAGCTGCAGGTAGGGACCATGTGTGTCTGGCCACTGAGCACAGCCTTGCTGTGTGCACAGAGTAGGGTTGACACAGACTGGTTTCCTGATGGCTTTTCTGATCACTACCAGTTCCTTTCATGCCTGCATCTGTCTGCCTGAGAGTAGCTTGACTAGTCTGCTTAGAAGAGCAGCTGGGTACGTGGTGGGGTATTTCTTTCCCCAGTGGGAGAGTGTTCTGCTGAGCAGGAGGGACTCCGTGAAACCTGGAAGGATGCAGTATGGAGAAAACAAATTACATGAAGGGATTGCCATCTGCTTGCCAGCTGTCAAGGAAGACAGAACAGGGGTATTTCAGGAAGGATGGGCTAGCCCTCTGCTTTTGCCATGGTGGCCACTCAGTTTGTGCAGTGGCAGCCCCTGGGCCAGCCACTCTGGAGCAGCCTCGGGAGCTGAAGGATTCAGTGGGAAGCAGGTTGCTTAACCTGGTTGTGTGTGTGCAGCCATACTGGTTTTGAAACCTCTTGCCTGCCAGAAGGGGTTTTAGGCGAGTACCTCCATGCCTCTACTCCCAGAAGGCAGCGTGGAGGCTGGTGAGGGGGGCAGCTGCAGGGATGTGAGAGGAAACAAGCTGAAGTGGAAGCGGTGAGCATCCTATTTATGCCATAACTGTAGGGAGGGAGAGGGGTTCAGATTAGAGTGATAGTACAGTCGAGG